AAAGAAAGAAAGAAAGAAAGAAAGAAAGAAAGAAAGAAAGAAAGAAAATCTGAAGCTGGAAAGAATTACATGTGAAAACATGAAACATAAGCATAAATATGGGAAAGCTCAATACAATGAAAGATGAATCAACTACAATTGACATCTTTGGCAATGACAAATTGAAAGGAGTGAGATTTACAGTTTTACTCAGAAAATCATACAAAACACAAAAACAAAGAAGAAGCAATGTTGCTTTCATGATCAGGAAGAAATCAGTCTACACACCAATAGTAAAGAAAGAAGATTTAACAGAGTGTGGAAATCATCATACATTTTCCTTATTTTCACTTGCTAGTAAAATAATTCTTAGGATTATCTAACACCAGTTACATGAAAAGAGAGATGCCAGGTATTTGAGATAGTTTTAGAAAAAAATAAAGATCAAATATTATTGCTGATGCCCACTCAATAATTGAAAAATTAAAAGCATATTTCTCAAAAATGAGTATATGCCTCATTGTTTATAAAAGCCATTGATGGTGTAAAGCTAGAACATCTATTATCACAATATCACAGGAAGCTATAGTCCTGATAAAACATAGCAAATTGCATGGGCTCTGGATTGGTAAAGAAAAAGTTAAGTATGGTTTTTAAAATTGGAGGAAGAAACATCAATATCTTGCATTATGTTGAAGACTAGTTTGACATGTAAATGATTTGCAAGCTCTAAATATGAAAGTCAAGGAGCACAGTGAAAAAATGAGACCAAGAATAAACATAAAAAAACTCGATTAATGACTGCAGATATAGGAACCATCCTTAGAATAACAATGAAGAAATTGAAATAGTGGATAGCTTCTGCTTTTTTGGGTTAAATAAAGAAATCAGCAGTCAAGAAATGCATCACAGATTAGCATGTGGTAAAGTAACAAAAAAGAAATATTCCAATGCCACAGAGTGCCTATATGGAACAATGTGGGCAATGTTTTTCCTGTAAAAATAGTGTGAAAGTTGCACTTTAAAAAAGAGTGTTAGAAACAAGACTGATGCTTTTGAACTTCGATGTTGGAGAAGACTTCTAAGAATACCATAGGTGGCCAAGAAAACAAACAAATGAGTCATGGAAAAAAAATCAATTCAGTGTTCTTATTTGAGGCACAAATGATCTGGCTCAAACAATCATATTTTGGGTATATTATAAAAGATATAGCTATGATTACTATATCTGTAGTTGCTAAGAATTGACATCAACTTGATAATCTATATTCCATCAAAAATGTTTTATCATTTCCTATTATAACTTAAAGGCTGCATGTTTGTATTGCACTTTGTGATATAGAAGTTAAGCTGTGAAATGCAGTTTATTTTGTTTTATTTATCTAATTTATGTAGCTGTCCATCTCACAAGTAAGTGATTCTGGGTACAACTGCATGCATACAACAAAACTAAAACAATAAATATTATTGTTGAAAATATTAAAAACATTAAAAAGCTATAAAAACAGGTAAATGAGATTTATTTATCTAATTTATCGATTAGTTCATTGGTCAATTAATTAATAAATTAATAATTAACTCATAATTATTGAGCAGGGTTTCCCAAATTCCAGCATTCTTGAACCTAGTAGTCTTTAGAAGATTGGTACCATAACACAAGGATTTTCTAGACTCTATTCTCTAACCTCTTTTTGCAGAAGGCTGTGGAAAATGTTGTAGAGCCACACTTGCAGAATATCCTTGATGGAGCAGAATGTTCAGATCCTTTGCAGCAGGGTTCAAACCTGGTATTTCTTAATAATCTCTGGTCAGATCCTAAGGAAGTTTGACCATGCTTAGCTTTTCCAGATCAACCAAAGTCAACTAGGCGTTTCCAGATAATCAAACTATAGCTTTCCATTGCACATTATCACACTACAGGTGGTCCTCAACTTACAATCACAACTGAGCCCAAAATTTATGCTGCCAAGTGAAACATTTGTTAAATGAGCTTTGCTCCATTTTATGACCTGTTCGCTGGTGCTGTGGCCTGTTCACTGCTGCTGTGGCCTGTTCACTGCCACCCATTCACCACCACCTATTTGCCGCCGCCTGTTCGCCACCACCCATTAGCCGTCACTGTGGTCTGTTCACTGCCACCCATTCACTGCGGCCCATTCGCTGCAGCCCATTAACCGTGGCCTGTTTGCTACGATGGCCTGTTCTAGAACAGCTGATCAGCGCCATACCAACCCCCCTCCCCCCACTGCAATATTCAGTGTATATGACAAACAGATATTTCCATCCACTATTTTTTTTGGGGGGGGGGGGGAGAAGTGTGTTTTATACTCCGAAAAATATGGGTATATACAGCAACATATTTATTACATATTTATTTGTTGGAATTGTCAATAAAATAAATGTATGTTTAATTTTAATGACCATTTACACTTTTATTCTTGTGAGTAGTTGTTGTAGGGGCCCCACTACACTGCTTTGCCCATAATGCTGTTAAGACGGCCCAGGAGGACGACCAGTATTGTTCAGCTATTATAAGTATTGTGAGAAATAGACAAAGTTATTTTGATTTCTTATTTATCTGAGGTGAAGTCTAATTCTTTCATCTAGATTTAGCCCTCTGAAAAAAAAACAACCCATGAATTTTCATAGAGACTGAAAGAAAAGGTTCCGGATGCATTTCCTCACATTCAGAGTGAAGCTATCATAAGCTTTGCGAGAGAGGGCCTTTGCTAGCAATACATTACCTTCCATTTTGCCCTGGCAAAGTTCTTTTCAATCTGAGCACATACTCCATCTTTTATATTCTTGTCAGAAGCTGCATTGCCAGAAATCCTAGGGACAAAAGAAAAAAAAATCCAGCCAGTTATATCACTTCATCATAGCCCCTCCCTTAGTCTAAATGTCTTGCTTTGCTTATTGGCCTAGATTGTAAGGTCCTAAATAGGAAGGCTAGAGGCAGCAATTAGCTCTCAGTACAAAACAATTCACATTGTAAATGTTATGAAATCTGAACATCTTGAACTGTTCCTTTTGAACATGGAGAAGTTATATTGTCCCTGTTCATGTTTCTTGGCATTGTATAGTGGTCTTTAGAATTCTTTTTTTCCTTATGGAGTAACTATAGGGCTCTCACCATTCATGAGAGATAGCTTCTTCTGCTGTAATTCTCTGGTCTTGATCCACCTCCATCAGACGGGCTACTAGGTCCTTAGCTAAAGAAAAAAAAGAAGAAGGAAGATTACTTTTAAATGGCATCAGTGGGAGTGAAGGTCACAACAAATGCCACAATGGCTTTGCAACACAGAAATTCTGAAAGGACTACCAGTAGATAAAAAAATTATGTGTATCTTTCAGGCCAAAACAGATACGACACAAAAGTAATTTAGTATGACTGACTCTTTTTGTATATAAAAACAGCCTTGGGAGCTCACAATATTTCTGTTAAAAATTGCCAGAAAGGTAGGAGTATTGGAAATTATAATCCAGAGGATGCAATGATTGGGAAGGCTGAGTTAAGAATCTCAGTGAACTTGTATTTGCCCTTAAAATTTGGGGTTACAGTGTGCAATTTCTTTTTCTTGCCCCCACCATTCTCACAGCCTTACCTGCCTGTGAGATATCATCCCAATAAGGAGGATCAAATTCATAGTCTCCAGCCAAGATCTTGCGAAATAGGTTCTTGTCGTGGTTCTCATAATCATCCTCATCCATTTCCTCATAGAAGGGTGGGTTTCCCGACAAGCTACAGCATAGAAATAGGAGTTCAGATTCGGAATATTTATCTTCAAATTCCCAGCCAGCCTGGTCAATGTACTGTAGCAGCTCACTGGTAATTCTAAAAACTGGAATCCCAGCACATTTGGGGAAGGCTCTCAGCTGCTGTAGCATACATTTATTTAGCTCCTTTCATAAGAACTTTCTACTGCTTTTTCTGCAGCAATATTTTTCCCCTGATGTCCATTCTATGTTTGGACCTTCCTCCTTTCCCTCCCTGTCATCAGGATGATGTCTCTTTACTTACAGAATATACATGATCACACCAATAGCCCAGCAGTCCACAGGCCGCCCATATCGTTGGCGCCCCACCACTTCAGGTGCTGAAAGGACAATTGTAGAAGATGAGGACTATCCAGAGGACAGGCATAATGTTTCTCAGAAGACATTACAATTACAATTTCAGTAGACAACATTTCAGGAAATATATCTTAATCTTCCTCCTCCTTTTAACAACAATATGTCCTTCCTGTCACCAATGTGGAGGGTTTTTTTCAGCAGATATAATCTCAGTGTGCCCAGAGAGAGAAATATCTGCCTCTACCAAGGATCGAACTTACAGCCTCCTGACTGTGAGGTGAGAGCTCCACCTCTAGGCCACTGTTCCACTTTCTGAAAATATATTTTGGCAGAGCTAAATACAGAATGCTATGGCATTGCTCTTAATTCTATTTCAAACTCTTTTGAGAGAATTTATAGAATAAGCCTAATGAAGAAGGCACACTGACATCTTTCTTAGTGGTATTTTAAGTTTCCATATATAAACATTTGGTGTGGGACGAAAATGGAATTGGAATATAGAGGTAAAATTGTGTCCTTAAACAGTTAATTATTTCAGAAACATTTAAAATCTATGTTAGGAGTCATTTGCACTCAAATCTGCTCTCCCTTTTTTACAGCATATGCAAAAGATTCTGGTGCAGAATGGTTTGGAATATATGGAAGTTGATCCCTATGTTGAAAAATGTCATTTGCATTGAATCAACATATTTAGAGAAATATTTTTGTGTCATAGGCTGCATTCCCACTGAAAGAATCTGTTGGGACTACAGTGCTTGTCACTGGCACGCAACAGTATCAAACATTACTGTTTTCCCTCTCCGCACAAAATATCTGTGGTAAAAATGGTGAACTCATAGTCAAGCAGCAAGGCAGAAGGTAGTACATATATATAAATTACTATGGACCAATAAGAGGGAAGGAGTTTTATGTTTGTGAGTTTTTATAGGCATCTGGTTGGAAATAAGTCTATGACTAGGTACAGGAGGGTTATTTTCTGTTCCTACAATTTATTCATTGTAATGTTGCCCTGATTCGTATGCTGCTTCTTACCGAGATATTCAGGAGTTCCACATGGTTCTTTGATGAGCCCATTCTCCAGCTTGGCTAGGTGAAAGTCACTGATCACAATCTTAGAATTCTTCAGGCGGTTGTAATATACTAAATTTTCTAGCTGCAGAAACAGTTGAAAAAGAATAGAATACTTTATTGACCAAGTGTGATTGGACGCACAAGGAATTTGTCTTGGTGTAAATACTCTCAGTATACATAAAAGAAAAGAAACATTTGTTAAGATTCAAGAATCATAACGTGCAACACTTAATGATAGTCATAGGGTACAATCAGCAATCAAATCATACTAGGAAACAGTCAATATAAATTGTAAGGATGAAGCAACAAAGTTACAGTCCTACAATCACAAGTGGGAGAGGATGGGTGATAAGGAGTGATGAGAAGATTAACAGTAATAGTAGTGCAGACTTTGTAATAGTTGAAGTGTTGAGGGAATTATTTGTTTAGTAGAGTGATGGCTTTGGGGAGAAAACTGTGCTTGTGTCTAGTTGTTCTGGTGTGCAGTGCTCTATAGTGTCGTTTTGAGGGAAGGGGTTGAAACAGTTTATGTCCGGGATGTGAGGGGTCTGTAAATATTTTCACAGCCCTCTTTTTGGCTCGTGCAGTGTACAATTGAAGGCAGGTGGGTAGTAATTGTTTTTTTCTGCAGTCCTAATTATCCTCTGAAGTCTGTGTCTGTCCTATTGGGTTGCAGAACCAAACCAGACAGTTCTAGAGGTACAGATGACAGACTCAATAATTCCTCTGTGGAACAAATACATGGATGAAAGAATGAAGGCAAGAGGATAAAACTGCTGAATGGGAGCATTATTTCCTTCTAGATGTAAGTGTTAGCTTACATGCATGCTTATATATCCACACAACCACATCATGCTTCTGGGAAAAGTAAAAGGAATGATATTTGAAATGGATGTTTCTATCCATTCCTTCAACTGTGTATATATGGCATCATACATAGGATACCCTTCTGAAATCTGGGGGGGGGGGTAGGGGGAAGGAAAGGAGCAAAAGAAGGCATTGCAATTGCTTAAATCAATTTATAAATGGAAGGAAGAGTACATGAGCCAAGAATGATGATCCGACTTGCCTTGAGATTCCTGTGTACGATCTTCAGTGAATGCAGGTATGCTACAGCCTCCAAGACCTGCCTGATGACATTACTAGTGTCACGCTCAGAGTAGTATCCTTGGTCCAAGATCCAATCAAATACCTCTCGACCAGTGGCCCTATAAATAAGGAAACAGACAAAAGCAATTGGATAACCAGGATACTAGTTAATGCGAACTAGTATTACAAACTACAATGGGTGTAGCAGAACAAAAATGGCTTTCTCATTTCACATCACTGCAAATTAGCTTTACAATAGAGAATGGAACAAAATAGCTTCCTTTGTTTGAATCCATCTGATTTGGTACATGTTAATTGTCATCACAATAGACTCTTTCCCAGCATTATTTAAAAATGCCACGGATTGAATCAGAGGGGTTTTTTCCCCTAGAAAAAACAAATACAGTACTACTGAGTAATGGTTTTTTTCTGCAGTAAAAAAGAAATGATAATATAATGAGAAGGAAGGTTCCCCCTCCTGTTCTAGATGGCGTCATGAACATTTAAGGAGTTTCTGATAAATGTCTGAGATGTTGTATTTTGGGATGGGGGGAGGGAAGGGCAGGGTTTAGCATCATCATCATCATCCTATGGCCCTGGCAGCCTGAGAAGAGAACCCAATGGGTCATTTTAGGAGTTTAGATTCACACAACACCTACTTACAGCTCCAAGAAGAGGAAATACTCTTTCCGGGTAACATATACATCCACCAGTTGTAGAATGTTGGGGTGCTTTACCCTGTGGGAAAAGAGAAAAACTACTTTGAGGGTCTGCTATCAGGCACAAACATAAAACCGAAGTCAGATATCTGCTCAGTCTTCTCAAGAAATTTGTCACGTCACCTCGTATTCATTTACTGCATTTTAATTAGGATGTTCTACTTTGCCCAAATCTGTTCCGCCATAGCTGAAGCCATACAACTTGTTCCATTATTAATGGATACAATGACTACCGCAGAATTCTGTTGCTTTCATCATATGGAAAATGAAAGGGAATTGCGTTGTGATATTGCAATGTTACTTTCATCAAGCTGGCATTTCCCCCTCCCTCTGATCCTTGCAGAAACTGCTTCCCCTTTCTGAAAAGTATTTTTTTTATATTTAATCCTTTCTGGAGCATGTTGGTTCCTTGAATTCTGCTTTATAGTATTAGCTTTCAAGTATTATTTTGTCTTATCTTTGCGTTTGTTTGGGGGAATCTTCAGTTCATCAACATCTATTCTGAAATGTTCCATATTGTGAACTAGTATTTCTCTTATGCAGCTAAAAATGTGTTTCTTCATGCTGATGTTTAAAATGGGGATAAATAGCAATGCCAATGGTTCTGACCAGTGGTGAACATGCCTTATGCACCCCAAATCAGGATGCCACCATCTGGCGGGGTGGGGCGGAGAAACAGGAGAGAGGCTATGGAGGCAGAATAGGAATTGACCGTATAGGACAGTATTTATCTTTCTGATACAGTTTTGGCTGGCACTTTAATGGAATCCTGAAGAAAGATGCAGTCGCTATTCCTGAATAACTACCCATGTTTCCTCAAAAATAATACCCTGTCTTATATTTTTTTTTTGCCACCAAAAAAGGTACCAGGTCTTATTTTCCAGGGCTGTCATCCACTGACTCACCTCACTTGTGTGCATTGCCCCCCCCCCCCGGCCTCCTTTTCACTGTCAGAGGCCTTCAGGAACTTCTTCTATGGCCGGCAAGGCTTTCCTGAAGGTCAATGCAGCTGATAACAGAGCTCCAGATTGATCCGGAGCTTCGTTATGGGCTGCAGAGGCCTTCAGGAAAGTCTTGGCAGCCTTGCCGCCTGCAGAAGAAATGGGCTGGCAAGGCACAGGTGATGGGAGTGTGCGAGACCTGGCTGCAAGTGTTCAAAGGTAAGTAGTAGGGTAGCTCAACCCTCCCCCATCCCCACCCTAACTTAATTTTTACTTGTGCCCCCTGGAGTGGGCGGTGTCTTAATTAGGGCTGATTTTGAGGGTAGGGCTTATATTGGGCACACGTGTAAAAAATCAAGATAGGACTTACTTTTGGGATAGATCATATTTTCGGAGAAACAGTGTTAAGAGTTAACTGCAGCTGCATTCCATTTAGGAAAAGAATTAAATTGAACATGTGTAGCTTCAAGGGCTAAGCAAGCACAGCAATAAAGCAGCTGAGGAAGCACAGATTCTGGTATCTATTGGAATCAACTTTCTCCACTCACATCTTCAGGATGATGATCTCATTCTTGGCTGCCTTCCGCACTTTGCGCCCATCTCTTTTCAGAAACTTCTTGCAAGTATAAAGCTTGCCTGTCGATTTCTCTTTGGCACGGAATATCTCACAAAACTCCTCTCTAGGAAAAGAACACCCATCTTTAAATGTAAACAGATTGTATCCATTTGCTGAAGCAGCATAATTGTGCAGCAGAGATGGTAAATAGCTTCCAGTTTATGAATCATCCACTTCCCAAAAGAGACAGAAGATACATTGTGTGTTCCCTGAACAAGCTGTTATTAAGTGCATATTGACTGGGGATTGACCACAAAAGGGATGAATAGCAGAGGAAAAAACATTTGTCCATGATATGTATTCTACACGTACAACACTATAAGTGGCGTTTATTAAAGTACCTATTATTTGCAAACTTTGGATGACCTTTAAAATTAATCCTGTCTCCCAGGATTCTGTATTTGTATTTGCATGTGTTTTCATGTTATCAATTGAGTCACTTCTTGACAAGATATAAAACAAAAAGGGAGGAAATGGAATTCAGGGGAAGAGGAAGAGTGTCACTGATATGTTCTAACCTAAATAGATTTACTAACTTAAGACAGAGTCAGAAAGCCCTGTCTTCTTTCAGGCTAAACTAAAATCCCCTCACTCAGCTTACAAGAGAGTTAACTAACTCCCCGATCACTAGCTTTCTTAACAAAGTAAGCTAGTGATCAGGGAGTTAGTTAATTCTCTTGGCTCCTGAGATGAGACTCATCAGAGTCCCCTCCCCCCAAAGCACCTCTATCTCCCGTGTAGCTTTCATACCGCTCTCCACATAGAACCCGTGTGACAAATTGCAGAAAAGAATAGGTACAATCATCCTTTGAGTTCACTCCTGGTGGTGCCTACTCCAGTTGCACTTCTGTGTTGTTTAAAATCTTGCGCCAAGGGGAAATATAATAAAACAAGATACGTTAACCCATACAAAAGATGATTTATGGAATTCTTTCCAACCAGCAGTAGCTATAGGAAATACTTGCATTTTCTTCTGTGTAATCAAGTAACCCATAGCTCTCTCTCTCTCTCCCCTTCACCCTCTCCCCCCTGTGTGTGTGTGTGTGTGTGTGTGTGTGTGTCTGCCTGCCTTTCCCTTAGAAACCATGTACTATATATAGCTTATGTGAATGGGGCTGGCAGCATAATCTCAGCTCTTGGTCACATGACCATGAAGATGAGGGAGAAGGGCTTAGAATAGAATAGCCAGAAACACTATGAGCTCCTATCCAACTATCTTGTCCATAAGAATGCATTGGATGGATTAAAAAACAACAACCTTCCTTCACAGTTGCCAATTGCAGTCCATCTTTAAACTATTTTTTGCTAGTTTCCCCTAACACATCTGGTCCTGTTCCCCTTGGGTTTGGAGAGGTATCACACTGACAGACAGATGAATAAGCAAAAATCCCGAACCTCTTACCAATATTACATTGGGTTGGGAAAAAAAAAAGACTGTGAATGGGGAAAAAAATAAACCCAGGTTCCAGGTCCTTTGCATGGTCGGGAAGATTAAAGCATACCAGTGTATGACAGACTCAGCCAAACACATCTGCATGTGTCTCGCTGTATCTTTTCTTGCATCTGAGGTAGCCTGAGAAAAGCTTAATGTGCTACAGTGAAGAAATGGTATTTTCCCTACTGTCCTCCTTCAAAGTGCTGCATGTTGTTTATAAAGGGCATTTTGATGTGCATTGGAGAGGCAGCCCAAAAGTCATTTCGATTCCAGAAATATTGGAACTCAAGTCGGTTCTGCCATTTTTCTGTGGGAACGTCCCTTTCAATCTAGTGCCTGACTTCTTTGCTGCCCTTTATTCCTCTTTTGGCTGTGATGAGGACTGAATCTCTGGTGCCCACAACCCTCTTTTTACCCAATAAGATTTAGGGTGACATGATTTCCTGCTGGCTTTCAGCTGGGAGACGAGTACAGCAGGACAATTATGTGACAAAGGCCCTGGCATTCTCCATAGTTCATTGCCCATATATAGGTGAGTCTATAGACAGGAAAGGGATGTTTGAGTTGTTTGCAATGTATGACCACAGCTCTTTTTTTTTTTTTTTTGCACAGAAGAGAGATTATGACTCTGGGAGATCATTCTGTCAGTCTGTCCATTTATTCTAAATTTTCATTTGGATCCCTGGTAGTTAACCATAAGCATAACACCTGATAATCATTATGTTATTTTCTTATCCCTGAAATATAATAGTAGTGCTTGCTAGTCTAAACTTTATCCAAAGTCACCAATACTGAATTATCAATCAACCTGTCCACCATTCCTTAAGAACATTGCAGAGAGTAGTAGAACACCATTCTTGGAAATGTATGAAAACTGCTTAGAATAATAGAACACTTACGTTTTGATTACTTGTCCCAGGTCATATCTGTCAGTCACCTCAGATGGCTGGTTATAATCCTTCTTATCTCCCAAGGTAACGCATCCAAACGGCATTGCCAAGCCTGATACTGAAAAATAAGTGCATGGAAGGCTCCGAGTCATCATTCATGAGTACAGACAATTTGAAGCACCCCAGGAACTTGATTGGGCATCTAGGGAGATCCACTCAACACTGCATCACTGAGCAAGCTGAATGTGAGCAGGTGCAGTTAAGATAGTCACATATGCTCAGATGTGGCCTGCAGTGACAGGCTGGGAAGCATTTGTGGTGCATTGCTCCGTGAAAAGATTGACGCACTGTCCAAGCTCCGGTGAAGGAGATTCCATGTCGACGAGGATTCAAAACAGAATGCAAAATAAAACTTCCATATTGTCCTGTCTTTATAAAAGTTAGGGAGGCAGTCCCATTTGGAACGATAATTATAAACCTCGGATCATAAATGGCATTGCTGGAAAAGGTGCATGCTATCAGAATGATCAAAAAGGAGATCCTCAATAAGACAACATTATAGGGATTTTTTTAGTTTAGCTGGCATGCATAACTTGCCTCCTTCCTAGGCCTGAGAGAAGGTAACCAGCCTCAAAATCACACAACAGGTTTTACGCCAAAAAACGGGACTAGACCTCATACATTAGTCTTCTGGTTTCTAGCATAATGCTTTAACCACTACACCAAATTAGCTCCCTGATAAACATTATAAGCAATAATTTAGGCACATTTCTGTGTACAAAAGCCACTGATCAGGCAAGTGGTGTACTTCAACAGCTCATAGTAAAAATAATATTTTGAGAACAAAATTAAATTCCAAAGCATAAAAATTTCCATAGACCCTACTTTGCAAGATTGTCCAATAATCCTTGCAAAGGTTTGCATGCAAGGATTTGGGTGACAGAACTGGTCATTATTTTCCCTCCCATTGATAAGCATACAGAGGAGACCTGGGTTAAGGTCTAAACTCTAGTACCGTTGAATTAAGTGTGCCAAATAATCATGGCTACAAGCTCAGGCTTTCAGTGGGCAATAAACGAATTATAGCACAGCCTATATAACAATTCAAAAGCTCCATTCAGTTAATGGGGGTTGAACAGAATTTTAAGATTGCAGCCAACAGTAGGCACTCAAAAATGTACACAGAATATCTCATCATTTACATATAACATGCACACAGCTTTTTTTAAAATTTTTGTCCTACTTAAAAGCTGACACAAATAGAACTATTACCAAGTACAGTAGGCATTATTCATTTTGCACAAAATAACACCTTGGGCAGGCAGCGGAGGAGGTCACCATTGTTAAACTCTTTTTGTTATATACCATGTTTCTCATAAAATAAGGCCGGGTCTTATTTTTTTTTGAGCCCCGAAAAAACGGCTAGGACGTCTTTTCGGGGGTGACTTAATTTCTTCCCCCATGCACACCTCCACCTAGAGTGCCCCATGCACACTCAGCTCTCCATGAGGCTGCCACTGGAAGTTCCCCAAAGGTAGAGTCACCAGCCGCTTCTGTCGACCGGTAGAAGCGGCCTCGGGGCAAGCACCCACGCACACTCATCTTGCCACGAAGCTGTTTCTATCAGCCGATGGAAGCTCCCCAAAGGCAGAGTCACCAGCCACTTTGGGATGAGGCATGGCTGCCCACAGGGCGCTCCTGAGAGGAGCGCCCCACGCACACTCTCCTCGAGGCCATTTCTATCGGCCGATGGAAGCTCCCAAAAGCCAGAGTCACCAGCTGCTTCCATCGGCCGATAGAAATGGCTTCGTGGCAAGGGGAGTGCGCATGGGAAAGCGGCTGCAAACTTTTCTTAACAGAAGGGAAGCAAGCTGAGTCTCTCTCTCTCTCTCTCTCTCTCTCTCTCTCTCACACACACACACACACACACACACACACCACCCCTGCTAGCCCTTGTTCCTGCACCGGGTCAGCCAAGCCCTTCTGGCGAGGGAAGGTCTCAGCATCTGCGGGGTTCCCACTGCTGCCCTCCCCTCCCCAGGCCAGACCTTTTCCAGGCACCCTGCCAAAGTCCCAGGCAGCCGACCTCCCTTTACTTGCTGCCGCCGCCGGTTTGGGGAGCAGGGGGGGGGCGCCAGGGAGGGAAGAGGAGGCAGCAGGGCTCGGCTACCCTTAGAAGGGAGATCAGGTGGGCTTCTGAAAGGAGACGCAGGAGAGGTCCTCGTAGGAATGCAGCGGGGAAGCAGGGTGAGTGTGAAAGGGTCACCGCCATGGCACAGGAGGGCAGGAGGGAGCTGGAGCGAAGAAGGGCAGGAGAGAAGCTAAACCGTCCTTTCTATTGCTCTGGTGAGGGCTGAATATTTGCAGGGGCTGGTTGGAAAGGCCTAATTTTAGTATGAACCTTGAGTCATGGGGGGGGAGCTGAACGGCGAAGGCACTCTGCACATGATCCGAGGCAATCCTGGCACAGTTCACGGGTGGCATTGCTAACAGTTGGGGGGAGTCTGATAACTTCAGCGATGCCTCCTTTTCTCTCTCTCTCTCTCTCTCTGAGTACCTGAAAGAGCGCCCGTCATGAACCAATTAACCAACCCCAGCCTCGGAATCCCTTATTTCGGCATAATTTGGGACGAGAGAGGAGCCATAAAACCAGGGACTTGGCGACGAGGTGCAGGTTCTTTTTTCTTTGTTTTGATTGAGTTCAATCACGAGACATTTCTTGATTTCATCGGATGTCGGAGGCGTTCAGAAGAACTTTTGAAAAACTTGTGGGTCTACCTTTGAGAAGCAATGAGTTTGGTCCTCTCAAATGGCAGAGGTTAGGGATGGTCTTTGGAGACCTCCTCTCTCTTTTAGCTGAGGGAGATCTGGGCGATTTTAGGCTAAAAGCTGCCCTGATTGATCAGAGAATGGGCAAGAAAGCAAAACAAGAATACATTGGGGCTAAGGCATTTTCTCCCATTCCCTCTGTCGCAATCTCCCAATTTTCATCCAGTCACAGATACGCATGTGCTTTCTCTCCTGCCCCGCTGGCAGATTCAAAGACAACTAATGAGAGCTCCCCTCACGAGGCCGTTTCTATCGGCCGATGGAAGCTCCCCAAAGGCAGAGTCGGCAGCCGCGTCTACCGGCCGATAGAAGCAGCTGGTCACTCTGCCTTTGGGGAGCTTCTATCAGCCGATGTTCTATCGGTAGTAGATCAGGGTATTCTAGCCTAGGCTACCTGCATGGTGCTCCTAAAGGCAAGTTTTCTCCCCCCCTTCCCTTCCCATTTCTCTTCACCTCGTGTAATTCTAACGAACGATGTGAGAAATGGTGGGGAAACGCATGGTTCAAATAGGCCTAAATTTTGGGGGTGGGGCTTAATTTCACCTCATGCCTAGAAATCACGCTGAGCCTTCCTATTGGTGGAGGCCGTATTGTTGGAGAAACACTGTAGAAGGCCACTTCTTAGTATGGCTCTAGGAATTTTGAGAAGCTAATTTGAGAGGGGAAAATTGTATTCAGGTAACATACCCTAGGTCCTAGGTCAAGGCTGGGATTACTCATCAGGCAGCTGCTTTCTCAGGTGTCACACAGTAATAGTGACAAGGGGTATCATTAGCACTTTTTTAACAAGCATAATTGATCACAAGCACATCACACTGCATTGTCATGAACAGAAATGTGAAGGGATTGCATTCCCTTCTTATTGAAATTGGGGCTTGACAAATTTAGTTTTTCTGCTTTAAAATTTTTTTTTAAAACTAATCAGAATCTGAATCAGAAGGCCCTTTACAGAAAATTGCAGCTGGCCTTTTTGACAGGGGAACAAGGAAATCAACACAGCTAGGCAAGGCAAAGCAAGCTGAAAAATCTCACGACTAAGAATATATTCAGGCTTGTGACTTTTCCCATAATTGGCCTGAAATGCCACCAGGAATGTGTAGCAGGCATCCTAGCTCAGTGGCAATTCCCCAAACAGTCACAAAAGAACACCTCATGAAGTGGAGGTGATCAAAGCTCTGCCCTATTACCTGCCACATTATCTTGGAGTGCACATTATCCTTCTGTCCTATTAACTTTAACATAAGATGATCTACGTGGAGGGAGATGGCGGGGAGAACCTGCAGCCTGGGGCCACATTAAGCCAATTAATGAGTAGTCCTAACTGCGATTGACATGCATACTGTCCGGAGCAGGAAGATTCTGGTACATATTATTTTATAAAAGTCTTCCCTGATGGGTAGTAATTGCTTCCATATAAAAAACAGGGCAGCTTTTTTTTTAAAAAAAGAGATATTACTATAGGGTATTCTGGTATTGTTAGACCTGCTTGTGGGGCAGGATGGTTTTGTTAGTGTTCCAGCAAGCCTCCATTCCAATCAATAACTACGAGACAAGCATAATTTCAAAAGTACCTTTATTAGAATAGTACCTGGCACATCTGTGGAATCTCGAAACTAAAAGTTTTCCAGACTTCCCACAATGTCTCAAACTACAATCCATCCCCTTTTTTCCCATCACCACATCACATGGACCAATCACGATCTGTCCCAGTGTAAGATTTTTTTTTCTCTGCTGCGCCACACTTAATAACCTTGAACTAAGAAAAGAATTTTGTTTACTTAGAACTACTCAATTGAAACTACCCACCCTCACACTTTCCCAGGCTAGGTGGCAGCGTGGAATATGGCTTCCAAAGCTGACAGGTTTATTATACATGGTACTGTGCTCTAGTATACAGGCAGTCCTTGGCTTAGAATCATTCATTTAGTGATCATTCAAAGTTACAATGGCATTGAAAAAAAGAAGATTTATGACCGGTTTTCACACTTAACAATTGTTAAAGCATCCCCATGGTTACCTGATCAAAACTCAGGTTTTGACAACTAGCATATATTTGAGACAGCTGCACTGTCTCAGGGTCATTTGATCACCATTTGCAACCTTCCCAGATGGCTTCTGACAAGCAGGGTCAATGGGTGAAGCTTAACAACTGCATGATTTACTGAACAACTGCACTGATTCACTCAACAACTCTGACAAACACGTTGGAAAAGGGAGCACAGCTCAACTGTCTCGCTTAGTAACAGAAATTTGGGGTGCCACTGTGGTTGTAACT